ACTTCGTGGTTTATATGACAGGCGAGGCAAGTCATTTCAATTTAAACGATTATTAAAGCAATTTTCTCTTTTATTTCTGATAAAGCTACTCAAATTCATTTTTGATTTCAGTGTCCACTAATTGAAATACAAGCATCTAGATTCTCGTATAGCTTTAGAAACTTTAAAAGCTTTCAGTAGCTAATTAAGATAGATATGCCAATCCAGTGTGAATTCACGCAGACATTCCTTAAACCAATCTTTTTCTTTCCTTCTTATAGGAAAATTTATGACTTAAAAAACTACCAAAATAACCATGTGTTAATTTTTTTAGCACAGTATACTAATCAAAAATTTGTGGATATTCAAGACTGTCCAGTAAAACTAATTTTTAAGAAAACTTATCTTGAAGATTTTGCATATTTAAGACGAAGTGACGTGGAATATCAGCAAGAGAAATTTGGCCACTATTTTCACTGATTAGAACTGCTTAATTAACCAATTAAGCGCTTAACTTCTCTATTATTATCAGAGGAAAATAAAACAAGTATTATATTCCCGATGTTTACAGCTCTTTTAATGTACCTATAATCCAACTACTTTCTTCATTATTGCATTTGTTTGTTCTTTTAAAAAAAATTAAGTAAAAATCTTTTTTGTGTACCGCGATTATAATATTTAGACAAATTGCATATTGAAGAGAATTGTTAAAGTAAGAATAATGATTGGACTACATTTTAAAAAAAGGAGATGATTTTAACAGTATGTGATCAGCTCAAAGTTTAGCGACCGTGAAGCATTTTGAGCAATGCAATAAAAAAGATATTTTTTGCAAGACTTTTTTAGATCTACTACCGAGATCTGCTGAAAATTTGTCTAAAAACTGAAGTTTAGACTGTACTTGTTCTGAGGTTTCACGCCGACAATGACTTGCTGATTGCTTAGTAGGCTGCCAGATTGCGGGAGTGAAACAACTGAAGTTTTTCCGGTTAATGACGATCAGGCAACTATGTTCTGACTTGCTGAAAGTGTATTGTGTGGCTGTTCAAAACAGCACCTTTACTCCTTAACTCCTCTTCAGTGATATTCAGCTGTTTTCGAATTTATCAAAAAATTTAAGGCATTTAACTATTATGTCTTTTGACGTTTCTACTTTGAAAAACTTTTTTCTGCTTGCAGTAAGTACTGCTAATTATCTAACCAAACATATCTCTAAAGTTTAAAAATTTTAAAATATTTGCACTTTAACCTCTCATCATTTTCTTCAAAAATAATTTTTTTTAAGCTTTAGTAAAATCCTAATGTTGTATTTTCCATGCTGAGAAATATCAAGAACCACAACAACTTCTTTGAAGCATTAAAGAACACAGCAACGGTAGTAATATAAATGTTTTAAGTACACCAGTTATTTGAAAACAGTATTAGTCAGCAGTTTTTTTTTTTGACAAAAACCCATTAACTTTTCATTTAAGTTCTCGATTTAATGGCATAAACATAGTTCAACAACACCGTCAGGTAGTTATGAAGTCAATAAACAACAAGTTAGTTTAAAACAGTAGACATCTGCTTTACATTCCCAACTAAATATAATCAAAGCTTCCTGCACTAAAATGCTCACGAACAAGCATATGGCACATTCAGGCCCTAAACTAAATAAGTTTCAAACGACAGTTGTAAATGCCAGAGTAAAGATCTTCGACGCTTGAGCGATTTTTTTGTGATCGTCTGTTTCAAATGAAGGCAGTGTTTCAGAAAATCAATAATAATTTAAAAGAAAAAAATCAAATTTCTTGCCAGCTTTATTAGTAACAAAACCACTTTCTAAAAAATTATTGACTGCTTAAAACTGGACTAAGATAACCATTAAAACTTTACATAGAACAGAAGGAGACAAAGTATCAGTAAACATTCATGAAGAAGAGGAGAATAAAAATAAATCTGTAGCAGTACGGTTGTCCCAACACTCATAATTTGAAGATTTCAATATTAAATCCAAATGTTATCACAGTATTGTTATTGCTACTATAGCAAAAACTTAATTTTTTTTTCACATTTAAGTAATAGGGTAAGCAATAGAGACAACCCTTAAGCACTTCATTTCAATACTCTTTTGTTTAGCCCATCAAAAAAAAAACATCATTTTCATCAACACTGCTCGAAACAGTTGTCAATTTAAATCTGCTATATAAATCATCAAACCGTTATACCTGTTAATAAACTGGTGAACTATACGTTATATGAGACCAATTAATATGGTCCATTTACCAAAACCAAAAAACTATTGATCAGACGTTAATATCTTAGCGAGTTTGTTTAAATGACCGACTGTTCTTGAAAGTAGTAAATCCAAATCTATTATAGGCAGTACGATAAGATGCGAATTAAATCATAAACACAGAATTTCCCGTTTGTTTTCAGCAGAACACACTGACCACCAAGATAACAAGCATGATAAGGTAATCCCCCTAAATTTAATCCTCCCTAAAGAACAAGATTAAAATCTCGGCAAAGTGCAAAAAAACCCAAATTATGACCAGCCCACTAGTACTGTCCATCATTTATCATCAAGTAAAGTATTCATATTTCTGTAGTACGATTACCTATTTTACCAAATTACTTTACCAAACAAGGTGTTAACTGCTAATGTTACCTAACACCACAGAAACGTTGCAGCGTAAAGCTACTTGCAGCTATCGTTAGCGTTCAATTTTTCCATAATGTTAAGCTAAGTATGATTGCCAAAAACGAACAGAATTAGTAAAACTTTAGGTAGATTTTACTCGAATAAACAAAACACTAGCAGTATGCAATACAAATACTAACTACTTAGCAGGTATATGAATGTCAGTTTCTTAGCATTTTTCGTAACCTTTATAGTTTACAACCAGCTGTTTTTCAACCTCATCAGTCACAACAATCTTAACTGGGTTATCAACAAAAATGACCAAATCACCGTTTACGTCATCAGTTATCAATTCCGCAGAAACAGAATAGAAATTAAGCAGAATCCGCTTACTTAAATCCGTTTAATTTAACAAAAATCACTTTTTTTTAAAGCAAACCGATAAAAATTTTAGATATAATTCATTAACAACAAATTTACTATGACGTCACTAGATAAAATTCCGCAGTGTAAAAAACAGAGTATTAAATAGCAGAAAATTAAAATCTGTCAATATGTTGTACAAAGATTAGAAAAAAAAAACTAGTTTCTTTTGACAAAAATTAAAAAAAAAAATAATTTGAAACACATTAAATAAAATATGCAGGAAGAATTTAGACAGAAAGCTTTGACAAAGAAAACTTTTTGCAAAACGTTATATTTTCTTTAAAGCACGACTACTCCACTTTTTCTGCGTAAAAAATTAAAAGTTAAAGAAAAAGTGAAGGATGATGATTTTTCAATCACATGTGAAAATCTGAGGTAATTTTTAATGCGAGATGCCCATAAATTTACATATAATACTTAACATCACTTCATCACAACCAGCAGCGATTGAGAACAGTCGAAAGTCACGATGATAACGACTTACAGGATTATCCCAAGTATAACCATTTCCACCCCAAAACTGCAAACAATTGAATTAGACATAATGAAACAGAGACTTAGAAGCTTAGATTATCCTTCCGATTAGTCACCTATCCCCTAATCTTTTGTACGCAAGTATACTGCCACCTTCAAAAGGACTAAAATGTTACAAGTTCTAAAGTGATGTGGTGAATTATAAGTGCTAATTCTAAATAGTTACCTGTAAACAGGAATCAGTAAGTTTTCGCGCAATCCTTGCTCCTTTCAATTTGCACATACTTGCAAGCAGCGTAACATCTTGGCCTTGAAGACGTTCCATGACTGCTCTGTAAAGAAGTGAACGAAGCAGCTCAATTTCAGCCTGAAGCTCCGCCAAAGTGTAGTGAACGACCTGAACAACCCCACTGTGAAACTTTCAGAAATAATATACACTTTATAATTTAAAGAAACAAGAGTTAACTAAAATTAACAGAGCAAAATTAAATGAAAATTAAGCAATCGAATGAGATGAACAAGTACAACTGTGATGCGTTTATTCTGACCATCTGTGATTATAATAGGTAGGATAAAAACAATGACAGAGGAACACTGTCAACGGAGTTGAGCTTCTTGCTCCACTTTTTTTGGGAAAAAAATCTGACGAAATTATTCTCCGAGTAGTCAGAAATATATTCAAAATCTATCGTTATTCAGCTTACTTGATTTTCAATGACTCTTTGACCAAATATCTTTCTGTTTTTTGCATATTCGATGGTCAGGTTGATGATCCTCTGCAACGGTTCCAGCACTAAAACTTCGCTGTTCATAAGGATGTAGCACAAAAACTTTAAAGTATAGAAAGCGTTCAAAACGAATTAAAATCGCCTGTGAATTTCACCAGAAAAAGTTAAATGAATGGCGATGCACGGTTTGTTAGTTACAGTTTTCATACTTTCAAAAAGCTTTGCGATAAAAAAAAATTTACTAAATTTCCAAAATACTCTACATTGAACTAAAAAGCACATCTAGTGAAAAAAATACTAGCACAACTAAAAGATTTTAAATTGAACATTAAACAAAAGTAGAAACTCACAAACTGCAGTAGCAACTAAACGTTCGTCTTGAAACTGTTGCATTTGATAGACAAAGCCGTGGCCTTCTTCACCAACAATGTTCTTCTTTGGGACGCGCACAGAATCAAAGAAAAGCTCAGCAGTGTCAGAGGAGCGCATTCCTAACTTTTCAATTGGTTTTGACCGATGAACCCCTGAAAAAAGAAATTTACGATTAAGAAATGCTGATATAAAGTGCTTATTAACTGCAGATAAAACTTGCCAAGAAACTTCAAATTTCCGTTCATTTAACGTTCAAAACAACTAGTAATCTCAAAATAAAATGACTATTACAGTCACAGCACCTGGTTCACTAAGCGGCACACAAATTAGACTTTTATTACGATGGACATTTCCCTTCTGGTTAGTGTTTGCAAGTAGACAAACCCAGTCTGCTTGACAGCCATTTGTGATCCACTGTTTACTGCCATCAATGATCAAATCATCACCATCCTGTCGAGCACAAGTTCGAATTGCTAATCAGGCCCTTTGTACAGTTGTTCAAAAAATTTAAAAACAAAATTTTTAAGTCATAAACCTGCATCAGATTCTTCTAAACCATAATTGTTGCGCAAATTTCCGATAAGCTAAACAGCCCAGGCATTCAATTTCAAGCATGGATCGAGAGTAACTTCAGAAAATAAATCTAACCAGCAACATCGCTTCCCGCAGATTCTTCAGAAACACCCAGACAAGCTACAAGATCACCACTCAAACTGGGTTCCAGAAACTCCTTTTTCAAGTAATCACTCCCATGATTAGCTAGGGCAGGGGTTGCCATATCAGACTGAAAAAAGTAGAACCAGAGAAATATCTCAATGACCTTTAAGCTGCTGGCCAGCAAACAGCATAGAGAACAGAAAGAACAAACCTGAACGGCTACAGCCATCGGTATGGCTCCACAGTTCACTCTACCAAGTTCTTCAGCGACAGCGACAGAGTAACTGAAGTCTAAACCCAGACCTCCATACTCTAAAAATGTGAAATAAACTGGAAACAGATAACAAAAGCGTCTGCTGAAGAAAGTGCAAAGATTCTGTAACCAAAGCTTTTGAAAGCCAAATAATCATCAAATATTAAATATCGATCATAAATCAAAAAATTTACCAGCAGGTTTGTTGACACCAAATATACCCAAAGATCCCAATTTTTTAAAAAGTTTATGCGCTGGAAACCTTCGTTCCTCTTCCCATATATCAACAAATGGGTTAATCTCCTTATCAATCAACTGGAAGATGATTTACTTAAACTCATTTATCTTTAGCAACAACGACGCGTATGTTTGTAAATTACCTGTCCTAACGAAGAGCGGAATTGGAAATGCTTAGAGGTGTATAAGATGTGATGACGAGTTTGAGATGATAATTTCACAGCAGCTGAACACATCTAAACTCTTTTATGAAAGGTAAATTTTTTAAAAAATGACCCTGTCACACCACAATACAAACCCATTTAGCATACGTAAAAATAAATGTTCAAGCAAAATATTGTAGCGTAGACAAGAAAAGATCTAGTTTTAAAACCTTAAAATGACACAGGAAAACAAATGGTAGTAATGAGAAAAAAAAACTAAGGTGGAGAAAAAAATTTAGAAGTGACAGAATCAAATGTTTAGTCTAAAGAAGAGAATCAAAGACAACAGAAGCGGCTCACCAATGAAATTTCTGAAAGGCTTCAGGTGCGCTGTTTTCAAAAGCAAACAAATAGGAACTTCCTTCAAAAACACCATTGCGAAAGAAAATCTAATCACACGTGTGTGAAAACTGTGTGGGGGAAAAAGCGCTGAAAAGAAGTGGAAGAGATAAAGAAAACAAAGTGAAAAAGAGCACAAAAATGGTAACCACAAATTTTACATATGGTTTTACCGGTGCTCAATAGGGTCAACAGAAGGCACCAAATTTTCTTCTCTATCAACCCAAAATGAACCTTATCTGCGCATTTCCATCCCTTTACCTGCGTCGCCATTACCAGAAAAACAATATAAGGGTTTCTTTAATACGCTAAAACACCACCAATAAACCAGAAAATATGACTAATTACTGATAATTCACCACGAAAATCCACTGTGAAAAAAATGTATCAACAAAAAGCCTGTTTAAGGTACTCAATATTAGATATAAAAGAAATAGAAACTTCTAGTTCATCAACGGTAAAAAAAATTTTTATTTTCAGAATTCTTCGTTTCTATGTGTAAAATTTTAGCAACAAATTCGGCTTAGTGTAAATAAAGCAACAGTATCAAGATGAAGTGAAGTTAAAGAAGTCGGATATTCTTTAATCGAGAAAAGAAACAAGATAAAAATAAAGAGAAAGTCAAAGCGCACAGCTAAGGAGTATACGGAGGTAACAAAGACCTTGTGCATTAGACAGAGTTTTGTATACCAGCAGGCTTGATGACCTGACCCAGACGTAAAATAAACAAATTGAAACAGAACCTCTGTTGTACAAATGATAAAATGATAAAGAAACAAAATTAAAAACAAAACCATCACATGAAGCGCCCTCAAGACCGAATTCTCGATTCCAAGAATTCTCAAGAGTTGAAACGATATGAAAACAAAAGGTGACAGACGCCTCAGTAATTTTAATGCTTTGCATCCTTTATACACCTATAAAAATGACAAAACCCATTCACTACGTTTTCCTTCCTTAGTGAGACCAATAATTTGGAGAATAGCTGTGCGTGTCTTCAGTAAGCTACTTAGCCAAGGGTTCCAATAATCATTTTCTTCCAACTGCGCATTCAAAATAATCATCCAAATTAAATATAACTGACACTGCAATTGC